GAACCGTGGGCCAAGGAAGCGATAAAAGTGCTTAGCTATTCGCGGAGCACTCTAAGCTGGCTGACCTCACTAATTACTGGACATGGAAACTTCAAGTATCACCTCAAAAAGATAACTCTTGCTGAGGAAGACACTTACAGACTATGTCTAGAAGAATAGGAAACAGCGGTGCGTATATTGTGCCAATGCCCAGCACTGGCAAGTAGGAGGAAGACTGTCTTGGAACACCATTGAGTTGGTGATAACTTGGCAGGAAATCTCAAGCTAAATGAGCTGCTTGCATTAACAAAAGATGTAGTTATGAGTACGGAAGCCACCCCAGCTTTAACTCAATAACAACATCCGAGATTTGAAGGACGAAAAAGGATCCAAGTAGTTTCGTGGTTTACTTCGACTAATCCTTCACTTCAGTCGGGCCACTTGCTGGACAGTGCGCTGTCGCAACGTCCCACCATATATATATATATACATATATATATATATGTGGTATTATTACTGTAGTAATATTATAGTTTTATTATTATTGTAATTTTAACTTATTATAATTAAAGTATAAGATTATAATGAAAAGTTATTAATATAGTTTCGCGTCTTTTATGGCGTCTTTATCCGTCGTTTTCCGATTAGCAAGCACGTCGTCTTTCTTGCTTGTTCCGCACACAACACACAACTAACTATTTGATGTAGATCAGCTGTTAATTCATAAGTAGGGGCAGAGTTGCATTTTCGTAATTCTTATCCCACATTCGGCCAATCCTGATAGACATTCGTCTCGAATGACTCCGTTTCGCTATCATCTTCTTCGTATGTGCTCCAAGGTTTCATATATTCGGAGCAAGTGGTTGTGTTCTTCGGTCCTTCGTTTATACCAATCTTGGTGACATCGTAAGTATCGTTAGGCTTTGTATTTATTACCTCGTATGGACCTAAGTATTTTGGCTTTAGTTTGAGACCTGTGCCAAATTGAGTCCGTTTGATTGCTACCATATCGCCTTTTCTGTATTTGACGGCTGGTTTACGTCGAGAGTTAAAATCTTTACGGTTTTCTGCTTGCACTTTCAGGATTTGCGCCTTAGCTGCTACTCTTAGCTCTGTTCGTTCATTTTCGAAAGTAGATACAATTTCTTTATCGAGTAACTCTTTAATTCTGATGTCTTCGATGGTACGCATTTGTACTCCAAACATTAACTGAAACGGCGTTGTGTTGATACTTCGACAAAATGTTGAGTTTATCACTTGTTGGACATGATCTACGTGCCGGTACCACTTACTTGGATCATCAGAGCTTAGCTTTGAAATTACTGCTATTATGATACTATTTAAACGCTCGACTTGACCATTTACTCTTGGTAAGCCGGTAACACCTAAAACATGCTGTATATTTTGTTGTTCACAGTATTGACGAAATTCTCCGGAACTGTATGCTGGGCCTCTGTCGGAAATAATGCGATAAGGATTTCCAAATGTCGTACTTTGAAGCTTGAGTTTTTGCAGAACTTCTTGAGTTGTTGTTGACTTCGTCGGATATAGCCAACAGAATTTTGTGAATGCGTCGATGACTGCAAAAATGTGTTTATACTGCTTACTGGTACCTTCAAGTGGACCAAGGTGATCAACGTGGTAGGTATGAAGTGGGGTTTCTTCTTTTGGAAGCGGATGTAACAATCCATCCTGCTTGCCACGTTTACGATTGACAATGATGCATTGAATACAATTTGAGATGTGATTCTGTATTTTTTCTTCTAGTTTTGGAATGTAGTAATCTTTTTCAATTATTTCTTTGGTTTTGCGCACAGCAAAATGACCTCGTTCATGTGCTTTTCTGATGATTTCTCGCTGCATATTCCTTGGGATCACAAGAAGTTCGTCGTTATTAATTATCTTGAATAATACGTCTCGTTTCAAGAAAAAGTTTTTATACGTCATTTCCTTTTCGAGCATTTCTCGAATTATATTTAACTCTTCGTCTTGCATTTGGCATTTTTGCACCCTTCTTAGTAAATCATCTTCTATGGATAAAACAGCATATCGGCTAAGAGCGTCTACATGTTTCATATGCGACCCGCTTCGATGTTCAACTTCGTAATCATATTCTTGTAATAGGAGCACCCATCGAGCAACTCGTGTACAAAGATCTCTTTTTTCAAGCGTTTTAGTGAAAGAGTTACAGTCCGTAACAATTTTAAAATGTATGCCTAGTAAGTATACACGAAATTTCTTAATTGCTTCAATAACAGCTAGAATTTCAAGCTCGTAACTGGAGTATTTTCGTTCGGCATCTGTAGTCTTTTTACTCATGTAATATACTGGATGTAGTTGTCCATCTTCGGGAAGCTTTTGTAGCAAAACGGCTCCATAGCCATTTGCAGATGCGTCTGTATGAACCTCGGTGTTGTATTTTGGATTGAAAATACTTAACACAGGCCGTCCGCTTAGCATTTTCTTAATTGTATTAAATGATGTAACAGTGTCGTTATTGATCTCAAACTTTTTATCTCTTTTCCGCAAGTCATTAAGCGGTTTAACAATCAAAGAAAAGTTTGGCACAAACTTTCTGAAGTATCCGGCTAGACCGAGAAAGCTTTCAAGTTGTTTAAGATTTTGCGGCATTTTGTATCTTATAAGCGCTTCAATTTTCGATGATGATGGTGAGATCGTTTGATTTTCGATCACATGACCCAGAAATTCAACTCGTTTCTTTAGAAAGTGACATTTTTTGAAGTTTATTTCAAGCCCGTAGTCTTTGCATATATTAAAAACCATTTCAAGATTATTATATGCTTCTTCTTCATTGCTTGCTGGAATGATAATGTCGTCTATGTAAGGTAAAGCAATGCCTCGTCGTGCCAAGTCTCTAAAAATAGCATTTACATGTCGTTGAAAAACGCCAGGTGAATTTGATAATCCAAAAGGAACTTTCAGAAATTGATACTGCCCATTATGGGTTACAAATGAAGTGTACTTTCGACTTGATTCCGCAATGTCAACGTGGAAAAATCCGTTCTTCAAATCGATTGTGCTGAATATTTTCGCGTCTTGTAATCGATCTAACTGATCTTGAATAAGTGGCAATGGGAATCTATCTTTAAATATAACTTTGTTGATTTTTCTATAATCGATGCATAACCTTGGTGTTCCATCGCGCTTTCGTACCAACACCACAGGGCTGCTAAACTCAGAGTCAGAAACTTCGATAATGCCATTTTTAAGCCACTGATCCACCTGCTCGTCGACAATACAGCGTTCACTTATAGGTAATCTATGCGGTCTTGAAGCTATAGCGTTTTCGTCTTTAAGCACAATTGTCATTTGTACATTTGTTGTTTTACATTTTTTAGGTTTATAATCATTGATAAGTTTATACACTTTCTCCTTAATTAGCATGCTTGCTGATTCTTCTATATCAAACGTTACATCTGTGTGGCATTCTACGTCAATTCTCATCAAATTTTGTGCTACGTCGCTTTTATCATTTTCGTAATGTTGTTGTTTTTTAATAAAAACACCAGTAGAATTAATTTTGATTTCAGCTTTGTAACAAATATCTTCACCAATTATGATAGGAATGTCAATGCAATTTGTTGGCACCACGTAAAAGGTTAGTTTAAAGTCTTGATTATCGATGACACACTCAACATTTATTTTTCCGTACGGTTTTATTTTATTTTCACCTTTATTTTGTCCAAAACCTACTAGATAAATATTTGACTTCAAAAGTTCTACATTTTTCAAACACTCATAAATATCACGTGTAACCAAATTAAATTTGCTTCCGGTGTCGAATAATGCGATCGTATTTTTATTTTGAACTTTTATGTCTTTTTTCATAATATCTTTAGTTTCTTGCACATATCTTAGGTTTGCTTCCTTTTGCTTATTCGTGGGACAATTTCTTGCAATATGACCGAATTCGTTACATGCAAAACATTTTGCACCTTTGTTTTTATTTATGCACTCCGAGGATTTATGTCCATTTTCACCACAATTATAACACTTTATTTTATTTGTATTTCTTTCATTTTCTCTTGTTTTTGTTATGTTAATAGTTTGTTTGTTCATATCGAAATTTTTAAAATTCTTAGTTGGTTTAGGTTCACTTCGCTCTCGTATTTTTTCGTAGTTTTTTAGTTTTTCTTTAAAATCTTTTATGTTCCGCGAACCGTATAGAATTGTTTTGTTTACACTTAAATCATTTATGCCGTCAATAACATATTGAATGAGCGATTCATTATCAATATTACCTCGATTTGCAATGTTTTTCATTTCATAAAAGTATTCTTGAATTTCTTCACCTTTTTTCAATTTTCTTTCGTTTAATTGTTTATGTATGTGTGCACTATTAACTGCCGTTTTAAATTCGTCAAGTAGAACATTTTTGAGTTGCTTCCAACTATGTAGGTTCCTTTCACTCTGTACGAACAATTTTGCTGTACCTTTAAGTGCTTTTTTCGCAAATACAAGTTTTTGCAAATCGTCTAATTGCATCACCGATGCCACGTCTTCAAATTCGTTAACCCATTCTTCGATTGGAATACCGTCTTCTTTTCCAGTAAATATTTTAATTGTGTCTTCAATGTCTTTGAAATTCATTGAAAAGCGCGACACAGTAGGTTCGTCGTCATGAAATTTTTTACGTTGCATTTCGTTACTATTTACTCTTTTTGTTGTATGTGTTGTCGCTATCAGTGTCTCTTGTATAGTTGTATTTGATTCTATGCTTTTCTCGTCTTCT